GAGTGCTGTTTCTAAGATGGAGATCTGCAAAGTCTCGATTAACAGCAAACACCCCACTATTAAGCCAGGTGCTGTGATCACACAGCTGCTCCCTAATTCCACCGCCAGCACCACAGACCTCAAAGGATGGCAGTAAGTGGAGCGCACCAACCACAGGCACCTTTCACAGCTTAAGCAGAGGGGGGTAAAGGCAAAGCCACCTGGAGAAACACCGGGAGCAACAACAAAAGCAACTGCTGAGCTGAACAGCCTTGGACAAGTGACTTGCCCTCTCTGAACTCTGTCATCCCAGTTTTACGGATGAGGAGATTTACAAGGTCTTTTTCAAGGGTGAGGAACGAACACGAGGATGCATGTAAAATACTCAACACAAAGTAAGCATGCAACGCATATCAGCTATGATATCCAGGCTCCCTTTTAATTAGAACTCTCTGCCAAGTTGAAGAAATAAAAATCCCAAGCCATAATTCCTACCTTATCTTTGTCCACTTAATTACCTTTATTTTACAAACGATTATGTGACCAGGTTTGAACAGAGGTAATGCAATTTATTTTAAGATGAAGTGTGACAGCACTGGGACCTTTCTCCTTCAAATGATGGCTTAGGTAAGTCAAAGCACTTTCTAAATTGCTGGTTTACTCCTCCAGGCTCTGAGGACAGTGCTGGGGGGAGCCAGTTTCCTGAGGAGACAGCCTGGCTCTGATGGGTGGGATTTGAAAACAAAAGGAAAGTGTTTTTTGATGAAGAGAATACTCCTGTTATCTTAAATGGAGATCAGCAAACACACTGCAGCGAACTCTGCATATAAAATCCAGCTCAAGAAAACCTCTGGGTTGCTAATGCAGGTTTGCAAACATAGCAGGCATAATGAAATGGCTGCTTTTTAATGATTTCCTATAATGGCGTTTATAAATGGAAGCTTTTTCCCTACTGAAGCAATTTAATCGGAAAATGGCAAAGGAGTCAGAAGAGGCAGCCGTCCAGTTCCGATGAACATGCAGGAAGTGGGCTTCGCTGGGGCCTCGGCTCCTCCTGCTTGCTGTCCCCAGTGTTTTCCCTCCAGGGGACCTGGCAGGGGCAGGCCCTGTGTCCACAGCACTCTCCTCCTGCCCCCTGCTCTTCGCTTGCATTGCCCCACTCATCCTTCAGCTTTGTACTTAGCTGTGACTTCTGGCAGAGTCTTCTGATGCTGCCGCCCCAGGATGTCACTAGGGGTCCCTGTCCACCTCGAATTGTGGTCCCACTATTAGTCAGCCCCTGTTTCCTTGTCTGCATCCTCCAAAGATGGTGTTCACTGCTCCTCACATGGCTGGGCACCCTCTGTGGGTAGGCGCTGTTACGTTGGTAAACAGGAACGCCCAAGTCCCTGCCTGCATGGAGCCTGCACTCTAGCGAGACAGCCTGATAAACGACTGGTAATACGGAAGGAAATAAGTGCAAACGTGTGGTATCATCAGGTAGTGCTAAGTGCTACGAAGAAAAATGAAGCAGGGAAGGGAAGGGCGCATGCAGTGTGAGAGGAGTGAAAGCTCTCGGACTCCACCAAGGTTGGGAAGGCCTCTGCCGAGAGAGGTGCACGAGAAAGACACGCGTGGGTTTTCGGAAAGCGCGCTCCACGCAGAAGCAGCAGTGGACATGGAGACCCCGAGGCAGGAGAAGCTGGTCAGGCCTCAGGGGCAGCGAGGAGGCCAGCGTGGCCAGCGCTGGGAAAAAAGCAGGGATCACCAGGGAAGACAAGGCTTCTGGTGGAAGATGCCAGGTTCTGCAGGGCCCTGCAGGCCAGGGTGAGGAGTCAGGATTTCACTCCGGGGATGTGGGGTTTGAGCCTGGGAGTACAGCCATCTAACTCCAGAGTCTGCGACTCACATCCCCAGTCCCCAGCACAGCTCCCAGGGAGGTGCTGAATAAATGAGTCAAGTCTCCTACTGTGGGCAGGGAATCTACCCAGGCATTGGGCGACAGACAGGGTCCCTTCTCCCCAGGAGCCCAGTCTCACTGGGAAAGACACTACTATCAGCTGTACTGAACGTGTTACTGAGGGAAAGGGTGACAATAAATGATTTGAGATGAACGATCTGGGGAAACAGAGTCAGCTCACAGGGCAGACAGGTGGATACCAGCTCCTGTTGGGGGAGTCCAGGCTCCAGATGCTCCCTTTGCGGCAAGAGCCCTGAGAAGTCCTGCAGTGAAGACACCCAGCCCACTTAGTGGGTCTGCCCTCCATTCTCCATGCCTATTTGATTAAGAAACTTTGTTGGAGTTGGGTTATTTGCTGAATTTCATAAAAAACAATTTCAGAGACATAAATGGAGGGATCAGTGCAGGAAGGTCTCCTTGCAGAGACTGGGCACCTCTCAGCTGCTTGTACTCATCTGACCCCTGAAGGCAGAGTCCAGAAGCCAGGGGCTGCTAGGGTGAGAGATTATGATGCTGGTGTAACTCAGCATGTAGGATGAGGGCCCAGGGCGGGGCTGGTCGCAGGGGTTTGTGGGTGCTGTAACTTAAGGCCCTGGGTTGGGGTTCAGGAAATAGTTTCAGCCTGAAGCCAAGACCCCAGGCCTGGGAGACATAGCCACTCCTCAACCCATTTCTGTCTGGCTCAAGCTCTCAGTGACTTCAATGTCATTAAATCCATCTTATCTAGCCTTAGCAGCAATCCATCCCGCTGACCCCCTGTTCCTTACTGCCCCTTCTCTGTCCCTCTAGCGTCTGAACACCTCTCTCCACCTTTCCTTTCTGCAGCTTTAGCTGATCGATTAGTGGATGGGTTGGTGAATCGCTTTCACTCATTCATTCCAACAAGTATCTCTGAACACACACTCTGTGCCAGGCCCAGTGGTGGGCTCTGGAGAGGTTCTAGTAGATAAAACAAACATGTTTCTGCCCAGTAGGGCTTAGTGGGAGAGTCAGTCAAGTAAAGAAATACAAATACAGCATTTAAAATTTCATTGTGATGTAAGAAGGAAACAAATGGGGCAGCAACAGAGTCAGCACAGGGACATGCACAGACTGTCACTCACAAAATGCTTTTGGAGGAGATGCATTTAAACGGAGACCGAAAAGCTGAGAAGTGCATCTCTGCCACGAACTCCCATTGGTGGTCCTCAAGGCTTAGTCTCCAGCTCTCTGCATTTCTCACTCTATACACCCACTTCCATAGTTCCAGTAACTGTGTGCAAACACCCTGATGTCTCCCAACTGATTTTCTTCAGCCCAGACCTCTTTGGCTTATGTATACCTACTGCCTTCTCCACATCTCCACCCAGATACCTCCAAATGGCTCAAACTTATGCCCAAACAAAACATAAGATCTCCACCCTCCCCCAAGCAAAACAAAACAAAATTCAAAGCAAAACCACCTTGTCCTTTTTCTTTTTCCTTTGCTCCCATATTGGTGATTGGTCCCACTGAGCAAATCAGACAGTTATGGGTCACAGACACCCACATATACCTACCTCCTCCTTCACCCTCTATTTCCAATCCTCCAGCAGATCTTGCCAATTTTATGCCTTTTCTATACCTGCCTGCTTTTCTATGTCTCAGCTGCCACCACCCTAATCCTAGCAACAATGTTGCCCACCTAGAAATGAGTCTGCAAGTTTCCTAGCTGGCCCTTTCACCCTTGATCTACTGATTTTCTTCACTACAGAATGACTGATTCCAAATGCATATCTCATCATCTCATCCCCCAATCCCCGAACTATGAAAATCATTTAGTGGTTTCTTCTGGGTCTTTGAACAAAGGTCAGACTCTCTAACATGATCTATGAGATCTTGCATGGTCTGGCTCCTGCCTACTTCTCTGAGGCTCCATCTCACACCTCGGGGCCCTCCACAGCTGTTTCCACCTCTTTGACAGCACCCTCCTCCTGAATGCCACTTCCTCTTTCACTTACTCAGTTTCTACTTATCTTCCAGATCTCAAATCAAATGTCACTTTCTAGAGGAAGCTGTCCTCCTTTGATAGACTGTCATGGTACTATGTTTCTTCACGTTACAGCACTTATATAGGTTTATAATTAAACATAAATGTTTAATCTTTGATTAAAGTCTCCCCAATGAAATTTAAGTTCTGTTGTACTGTATTATAATTACTCTTCCTTCTCATTCTTTTCCCATTATTCCTGTAAGTGAACATTTCCTAAGACATGGTGCCTCTCCCTCTTTTGACTCCACTATTTCAGCCAGAGGGATCTCCTTATCTCATAACTTCAAAGCCTTTATCTTCAACCCCAATCTCTCCAGAGATCTAGTTAAGCATCTCCAAGTAGACCAGGAGTTTTGCAACACCTCGACTGCAACCCACAACTGGAACATTTCATTTGGCTACTATATGTACACATGCAACAAGTTAAGTTTCATCAGACAATACTGTCACTCTATTTTTTCCTATTTGATTTCATTTAAAAATGTTTAATTTTTTCATATGATTTCAAGACCATTAAGGGGTCATGACGTGCAGTTTAAAACACACCATACCAACACGCTGTACCAGATATTTTCATGTGGACATTTCTTTACCACCTCAAACATAACATCTATGTCCCAATGCATTTCTCAACCAAACCGCCTTGCTAAGGAATATGACCATTCTCTTAGTCACTCAGGAGGAACGTGTTAGAGTCACTGTGGATTATTCCCAATGGCTAAAATCTATTGGTTTCTCCACTGCAATGTGTTGCCACTTACTTTTCCATTCCTGCTGTTACTGTAACAGGTTTTACTGTAACTTTTTAACTGCTTCCCTACTTGCAGGAATCTTCAAACAGAGCAGACATATGTTTGAATCACAAACATCAAGGCAGAAAGTGAATTCAGCTCTTTGGTTCCATGTTGACCAGCAAAAGAGTATGCAAAGAATTCGAACGGACATGGCTTCGTCTGCTCAGCAAGCTCTTTGACCAATGAAATTTTAATTCAGGCTGCCTTACGTTTCTAAAGTTCCCATTACAATCCAGAAACCGAACTCCAGCTTTGAAGAAATGGCAGACAGACTCACCCATGTCCGCAGTGACCATGGTGGACTGGTTTTCGGGGATGGAGACAGAGGTCTGGTCTTGGTCTACACTGCGAGAGTCCTCGTTGACCTCATGTTGGCTCTGGCTGAGTTCTGATCGCAGTTCTGAGTATTCATCTTCCTCCCTGAGAAAAAAAGGAGCGTCAGTCTCCGCTGACAGAGACATAAGACAAATCCCTAGAGAGTATGTCTTTTAAGGACAAGAAAAAGACATTCAGAAAGAAAACAGAGGTTTCCTCTCCAGGCCACATGGACCAGGATTCCTTTCAGGCCAAATAGATGGTCACATTTATGGTCAGTGGTTGAAACTCAAAGTTTACTTCTGTGTCCACATACCTACTTGTACACCAAACAAGATTCATCTATCAGTCAAATAGAAACTTTTCCCCTTCAGAGACTTCCCTAAAGAAATCAGATCTCTTCACCCCCTCAAACACCCAGGTGAAAAAGAACTGAGACTCCCAGCACCGAGGCCACAGTGAGCAGGACAGTTGAGAATATGGTGGACAGGAACGGCTCATCCCACCACCACCAGAGTCCCAGCAGTGGGCTTTCTTCTGGAAAGAGGACATAAGAGTGTTGAAGCTGGAGCTACTGGAAAACCAGCACCTTGTCTGTGCACATCAGAACAGATCCTCTGAGAGGTACAGGGGTCAGCATGTCTGAGAAACACCATACCTACTTTCTGCAAAGGAAGTAAGTGAAGTTGAGGGATAGGGGAAGAGAGTAGGGTGGGGAAAAAAATGGAATCACTGAGAGAACACCACTCAGTGGTCTACTTCCTTCAATTTGCACCTGCGAGCGGGAAGACGACATTTAAATGCAGCCATGTTTCATCTGCACAAGCACACCCACCCACTCTCAGCCCGTCATGGGTCCCTCAGCCTCTGGTCTCCAAGGTCTCTGAATCAGCTACGAGCAAGCTAAGAGAACTGAATATTGTCATGTGTATTTCAAAGCACACGCATACCTCCTCCCACACCAGTACCATTGATACACACACAATGGATGTAGACATGGAGAAGGCAAAAATTAACCCTCTTTGAAGCATTTCTTTGGCAAGCGAGCCAAAAAAGGAAATTGTCAGGGAATTTAATTATGCGGTTGCAAAGTCCATAGGTGTCTGCTTAGCCCCAGTGGGAGGGTATCTGTGAAGAAAGGTAGGAAGAGAAGAAATTCGGCCTGGCATTCACTTTAACTTGGTGACAACCGTTGGGGCAGAAAGTCCACAGTTTTGGGTTCCGGATAGAAAAATTCTACACCAGGATGGTTAAGTGGTGATCACTGGAACTTGGGGAAGAGGCAACTGCCCTTTTAAGCTGGGGAGATACATCTAAAGAAGTCTCCAGAGTTCTTGGTTCTCTCAAGAAATCAACATCCTCCCAGGGAAGGAATTCAGCTGAGCCCCTGAGGCATTTCTAATAAAAGCCACCCAGAAATCTGGGAAGACTTTAAATAGATATAAAACCCCCAGACATGCAAAATATGAATTAGAATGGGAGTGGTGAAGGCAAAAAATATAGGTTAATGTTCCACGAATCAGTTAATTATTAGACACCTGCAAAGCCAACGATAATTAGGTTTAGGAAAGAAAACAATTAAAAAGTACTCTTAAGAGTCACCTTTTTGGACTAGAGGGTAATTGTGCCCTGATACATCAGCTCTCCTTTCAATCAGCATTTAAAATTCCGATTTTAGTTAATGGGAGATTTTGTGTATGATGAATAAATTACCTTTGTTGCATAGCCAATGTAATCAGCCTCAGCTTGGCTGAGACTGTTTTACAGCCAAAAAAAAAAATCTAGATAAATGCTGCTGCTGTATCCCTTGTATAAATGGCATTTGTAAAATCTTTCATATCCACCTTAAACCCTCTTGGCTTGGCAGGTTCCAAAACATATAGTGCCTGCCAGATCTCCTGCTTTGTAAGAAATTATTTCATTAGGATGGGCTTTTATAAAGGAGTGAATAGGGAAGGGGTGGGAGAAGGAAGCTGCTGATTGTGGGAAACATTCCTTCCTGAGGTCAGAGCACAGTCTGAAGAATTACACCACACTAGAAATGTCACCTTAGGCAGAAGGCTTTCAGTGTCATGAAATGCCGAGTAAGGATCCTCATTCAATGTACCTGAGCAACAAAACAAGGACAGAAAAGCAAAAACCAAATGGATGCTGTCTTCTGGGAGTCACATAGGTTCAAAACTAATTCTAATCTAAGAAGGATGCTGCAAGTGGACACAGCAGGAGCTTCTGGGGCTGCAGGGGGCAGTGACCAGGAAGACTTCCTGCATGGAGCACCACTAAAGAGGAATCTTCTCAAGGCAAGCAGATTTTAGACAGGTCACGAGGGTGGAAGGGCACATGGACAGTCTCAAAGGATCCCATGGACAGGAACGTGAACTTGAACAGGGACATACGGAGCTTGGGGAAGAGTAGGAGGCTGGAGATAACAGAAACCAACATGGCACGTAGGATGGAACCCCAAGGCTGAAGGAGCACTCAGCCACTTGCTGAGTGGGCAATTTCGATCAGAAGGACAATTTATTGCATTGAAGAAGGCAAACAATCAGGGTTAGATGGTAGAAATAAAGAAAAAAATGTATGAAATCTAGAAATTCAGAAAGAGTAGTGTAGTCAAGATCTTGTATGGAAACATAACTAAGCAAAAGGGAAGTGTAGACGGCCTGTGTTCTTGGCCCCGCAGGGAGGGGCCGAGCTGAGCACGCACCCTCCCCGGTTAAGGTTCCTCCTTAAGGTTATCATAATGAATGTTATAGGACAAGCACACAAAGTAAACAGTAATGAGAGGTAGAAAGCAACCTTGTGAGAAGGTCAGGCAGGGTTTTGTGTCACAAAAAATGAGGTATAAAAAGGTTCAACTGAACCTTAATATTAGAAAGTTTGTACAACCGTTTCTCCCACTGACTTTGGTCAAAAGTCTTGGAGCTGCATATCTTTCTCATCTCCTGAACCATTACTGGCATCATTCCTGAAAGGAGGTTGGACTCTGGGACTGGGGAGTGATGAAAGCCAGTTCTCCCAGGGCTCTTTGTAAGCTGACAGTCAGTTTGGAACTGCAGCACATGTGGAAGTCTGATGCTGGGGGCTTCTCACTTCCCTGTATCATTCAGGAATACGCATCTGTCAAGAGCAATGGAACAGGAAGTCAGAAACACTCTGTGGGCTCATGGCAGTTTTTAAAGGCAAGAATTTGAGGTGTGTTTTCAAGGCTGCTTCTGAGCAGCAGGGCGTCACCCAGCTAGTCAAGGTGTCTAGCTAACGACACAGCATCAGCATCTCAAAGTAACTTTATAGTTTGCTTCCTTCTGCTGTGTATAAAGTGTATATAGTAACTCTTGGTAAGTGGTAACTTACCTGTTTGGGGAAAGAAATGCCTCCCCAAAGAACACCAACTGCTAATGCTGGTGATGAAAAGGAAGAAAACAAGGGAAGGTCCAACAAGTGATCAAATTAAGTAAAAACAAAAACAAAAAACCCAGAAGCTTTGATCAATTGAGAAATGTTGATAACTATACACCATTGGTGCTAGTTTCGTAATTACAGAATTACAAAGTTCTCAGGAGTTTCTCTTTGGAACACAAAGGATCATCTCACAGGATTCTAAATGTACATTATTTCATTCACTTAGAAGCATTTGTGAAATGCTTCCAAGCTGCTGTTTAGAGTTGCAATGATTAATGGTTGCTACTAGCTTACCAACAAAACAAAAACAAAAACAAAAACAAAAACAAAAACGCTTCTAAGGAGGCAGGCATTAGATTGTACACACCTACGTAACTGGCAGGGGCAGCAAAGTCACAGACTGGCAGACTGCAAGGGACCTTAGCAATCACCTAAGCCAGGATCATCACCTGTGTTCTACAAATAAGACAAGTAAAGCTCAGAGAGGCGAAGCAATTTACCTGAAATTATGCAACTAGTTAGCAACACAGCCTAATTCCTAAGTTTAGTACCAAGGAAACAATAATATGCCAGCTTGTTTTTATTTTTAAAGATGCCTTCATATTACTGGCGAGGAGTGAAGTGATCTAATCAGAAAAGGAGAAAGTCTGTGAAAGTGTAATTCTTATCATGCTTTCTAGACCGAAGCTGAAGTGCTCTGGAATCAGTGGCATTTGATAAAATTCTTATTTCAGGAGCAATGCCCATGTCTATTTTATTTTGGGTTGCACATTCATGCCTGGTCACCGGATTGGACTGACTGGTGAACCAGACCCACAAGGACACCTCCCTGCCTGGACAACTGTCAGTTGACTATGTCTACCTAAGCCAGTCTACCTGACCTGATTATTTTTCTTTTGAAACATATTCTGTCTCCCTTGCAATTAAAGGCAGACTTGCCCTGAAATGGACATCCTTCTTTTAAAGAACAAAGATTTTTTTTAAGACATAAGGAGGAAATATATTTCTTTCAGCTCTCTTAGAGGATCTATAGCTGAAAATGTGTGATGAGTAAATACTTCTTATTCTTCCCCACAGCACACAGGGAGTTCAGACTCCTCTATGAATCTTACAGTGAATAACTGAACAAACAGGAGTGTGAAATGCTCTCCCAGGTGTATAATAATCCATCCTTATCATCAGTGAGTACCAGTTTTAACAAGATCTGATAGAGGAGTCATATTCAAGAACTTCGAATAGGGAACAAGGGTTGAATACACACCACATAGGAAGACAGGGAGAGAGAAACTACCTCAGCTTTTCTGGGTTTTCATTTTTATTTCATTCTATTTTACTCTTTAGGTCAGAAGTTAATCAAAACAACATGTTTTTGCTGGGAGTGAAAGAAGTTTGGGGTTACACCATGTTTGAGATGCAGCAACGTGAAGATGGACAGACATGTCCACACAGGTCGAGGTGTAGGCTGAGCGCTCAGGAAAAAGGTCAGGTGCACAGTGCAGGCCGGAAATGTTAGTGACTGGATTATGTTAAGAGCACCTGGAGACTTTGGGTACTACCTCAGTAGCCAAATGAGGAGCATGTTGCAGACAAAGAAGCAGAAGGGTTACGTGCTGATGTGGAGGTGATACACATGGGAGGGGGTAACAGCAAGGCTGAGGATGGATCTTAGGGACAGAAGAAAAGATCTAAGACCTACAGGGCTG